GGTACAACACACATGCTACGGCAAGGGGGAGCCAGGACGCCAGGGGGGTATCATCATCCCCCCCTGACCAACACTTGAGTAGGTTGTGGTTTTAAAGTAGTTAGTTCAGTTCAGAGTAAAGTAGCTAGTAGTAGAGGTGAGGTGTGGTGTAGACCTCTGGAGCTGGGGAGTGGCCCCTGTGACCTGACCCCCGGATAAGCTAGAAGGTGGATTAGGTAGTCTGAAATCATGTAGTGTGTCGTCTATTCCTGTATGCTACAGGAATAAGTTTTCAATGAAATACCTCGAGGGATTTTTGCAGTGTGACCGTCAAGCTGCTCAGCTCTTCTTTTTCACGCTCGACACCTTTCAGGGACTGAGCTGTGCCATCCAGGTCGCTGCAGTTCAGCACGAACAAACGTGAAGGTAAAACAAAACAGACAAAGAGATGTGGATAAAAGTGTATTTAACCTGCGTTAAAGCAGCACCACTACAATGATTGAGCATGGAGAATCAAGTTGAACGTATCAAGGCTGAGCGTGTACAGTTTGATCTGCTCCTGCTCCGCCTTTAGCTCCACGACCACTTCTTCAAACTTCTGTTTCTCCTCCTCCAGGATCTGGTTCAGACGCTCCAGCTCCTGCATGGACAAACAAACTGAATAACTATTAAAACATAACACATCAATGATCTCATCTCATGATGAAGGTGACTACTACATCTGCATCTTTCATTTTATCATCTCCATATAAAACTTAAATGATTTGTTTATTTACAAATCAATACTAATCTCTTAATCCTTGAAAGTTCACCTCTCTCTGAGCTCGTTGATGACTAAGCTCCTCAGTCTCTTCCATCAGTTTATCTGGAAGAAGAAATAAATATATTGCTAATACCCTGCCTTCACTTGTAAGACCTTTGAAAGGTAAATTTATTCAGATGACCTTTCTCCTGCTTACCCAGGTATTCTTGCTTCTCTTTGGCCAGCTGCAAGCCCTGAGCCTCCAGACTTTCAATCATTGCTTCCCCCAGCTGTGCATTTTTCCATGTGCTGTTGGGAAGATGCAGTGATTTGAGAAAATCAAAGCACTATTAGCAAAATTAAAACATTCAAATGCTTTTAAAAAGCTGCAGCAGACAAAGGAAGCATGTTTTTAGCAGCAGAAGAAATGTGTCTCAAAATTAATCATTCTGAATGAAGTAAATGAATTACTCACACTTTCCCCGACTCCTGGAGCATTTCCATCCACTGGACCTGCTCCTCCTGAGACTCAGCAGCCAGCACTATGGTGCCCTGGGGGCCAGACACACTGTGTTTTACATGTTAGCAGCTAATCAATGATCGTTTCATGCTGTAAAATGAATTTTGGCTGTGGCAGTGCTGGTAGTGTGTCTCTCTACAGCTCCAGTCAGTTAACTATGTGCAAGTTGTTTGATATGTTTATTTTTGTATAAATTTGTTGTTGCGTGTTGTCTGTGTGCAGCTTTTTCTCCACACGCAGCTTCACAGATGACAAGTTTTAAACTTACGTGACATTAGCTTGTTAACCACTTGGGGGCAGTAGAAAAAAAACTGTAACCACAACATTAATAATTAACATCTACCTTATAGTACTTCATCCTGGCATATGGATTTTTAGCTTAGTTTTTGGTGTCCACCAGCTTATTTTCAATTTGATTTAAACTTGCAATCATTTATAATGTAATGGGAAAAGATTTTTGTGCTTACAGAGAAATCTTCAAGGTTGATGATGATGGCAAAGGGCATCCCCAAGTCTTCATTTGCTGACACCACACATCCTCCCAGAGGAATGACTCCCTAAGACAGGAAAAGGTTTTGGTTTTTTTTTGGTCATTTGAGTTCATTTGATCTTTCAAAACTAAACTAAAACATCAGAAAACATCTTTAACTTCAATTTTGTTATTGTTACCAGAGATACTGCAGCTGCTCACCTTGGGGTGAATGTTGAAGTACCTGTTGGTCTCAAAGTTTCTCTTCTCACTTTCTGCGTAGTAGAGCAAGAAGCTGTCTTTGATGATGAAGAATCTTCGTACCAAGGAAACAATGAAAGCAAGACTGAGTGAGTCCTGTGGGGCTAAAAGGAACCAACGTCTGGCATCGCTCTAAGTTTTGGTCACTCGATTGACTGAATATGAAAATGTTTTTGCTGATAACCCATTAACACTTTTCTCTGCTCGTTTCTCTTTATGCAAGTTTTCAGTCTTATTGCACACACGTCTTTTGTAATATCTTTACTTTCTCATTACTGATACTGAATCCATGTTATGTTAACAGGGACTCAATTTTCTTTTACTGCTGCTGCACTAAATAATTTTGTGGTTTACAAAAAGTTTCTGTTTAAACAACTGTTGAGTTGCTTTGGGTTAAATAGCAGGTGATGAGTACAGTTATTTCGTGTATGAGCTGCTGTTTTCTGTCCATTTTTGTTTTTGGAGCATTAAGAAGAACATTCATATTTAAGTCCACCGGTCCAATCATCAGTCTGTTCATCACACCAATCATAACACAGAGAAATGGGTGGCAAGAATGGAATCATTTTTTTTAATGTATTAAAATGTAAAATTAAGTTTAGAGTGTTGTGAGAGCACATGTTTTATTATTACAGACATACTATAAGTATAATCTGGATGAATATGATATATAATAAACCATTTTAAACCAGTTTTTGTTATATAACATAATCCCATTTATCCATCTATTAATCAGAGTACTGCAAACAGGTCTACACACTGGAATGATAAAGCCTTTTTAAAATAAGGATGTTTGTTTCAAAGAGTCATTACATTAAATTAAATCTGACACATATAAAAAGATACACAAGAAAATTAGTTCATTTACAGTTCTGTGCAAAAGTCTTGAGCCTGCCTTTATCTTCTGTTAGGAAAATGGGAAATAGGTACAATTATTTATTGAAAAATGTGCAAACATACATGTAATTGGGTTTTTTGGGGCAAAACCGGGTTTTTTGCATTTTTACCAGTTTTGAATTTACCTTGAAAATTCTTTGTTTTGTTTTTTCCTTTCAAAGGCCTTTTTTGGCTTTTTTTTCGTTTTGTTTTTTATTTAATTTGGCACGCACCCGCATTTTCTCTTTGTTTTCCTTCCTTAAAAATGGCTTCTTGACAACCGCTCTACCACTGAGACCATTTCAGTAAACAGTAGATGGATCAACTGCACGGCTAGAAGCATCTCTCAGGTACCATGTTAGGTCTTTGCTGGATTTTTTTCCCTATTAAGGATGTGACTGTCAGATAGTACAGATAAAGCCTTAGGCCTACCACGTCCTCTTTTGTCCTCAATTTGTCCTCAATTTGTCCTCAATTTGTCCAGTTTTCTCACAGGACATGCTGCACACCATCTAAACAACTTTTCAGGTAGCAGCACTTTGTTGTTGTAAAAATAGTTCTTTGCCAGATTGCTTGTCATGTGTAAACTCAGCATTAGTTCATCATTCAACGTTTAAATGATTCATAGGTCAGTGTGAACACACAGCATTTCATCACAATACAGAAAAACACTGAAAGACCTTCAGAAAGCCTTGTAGTCTCAGTCCTTGGAAACAAAATATAAAGAAATGAATAATAACTCAAGACTTTTGCACAATACTGCACTAGTTTAGGGAGTGGCTTTGTGAGTTTAGGTGGCACTCATTGAGGGAAATGACTGACTGTGAGACATATTTATTTTAGAAATTAATCAAAACTAGTGAATAAAATGTTAACATTTAGTTTCTAGTATGAGTACATCCTACTTTTCCAACACTACAAGATGTTCCTGTCTTTAGAAAAATCTCCTACAACACATCCAAATGTGTAATATTCGTCCTGACTTTCATTAGACTATTTAATTTTCACCATAAAAGCAGCTGTGAAATATGCTGGACCATTAACACTTAAGGCTGATAAGTCTTTTACATATATTTTATCCCACTGGTTGGGAGATTTATATTAAACAGCTGGTTACGACAATAAAACCTACTAAACCAAATTTAGCACAGAAATCCAAAGAAGCACTTACTGAAAATTTTAGCGACCTTTATGACACAAGCAGCTGGGATAGGTTACAAATGGTGTGCTGCAAATGGACTCTCTGGATCCACCGTATATTGTCGTTTTAACTGTTATGTAAACTAAGAGCATTACCATGACTCAAGATATCAATCCAGGCATTTTGACCAAATTTAAACTGCTCTCAGGATATACTGAAAATGCGGGTGAGGATAAATATTTCCTGTTATTATATAAAGCAATCCTCTAATACAAAACATGGCAAAGTACAGTTTACAAAATCCTATTGCTCTCTTCTGGGATTAAAAAAAAAGAAGTTTAATCAATAAGCATTCATAAAAGATAATAAATAAAACAATTATTGTCAATTTATAGGGAAAAATTACTGCAGATGTTTTACCTACAATTTGTAATGCAAATTAAAAGGTTTAATTTTCTCTCAGTATACAAGAATTTTTATTTTACAGCTGTAACAGCCAATAAATGAGTTCTAAATACAACACAGCTAATTCAAACTTTTAGTTCAGACTTTGATACAGGAGAGAAAATTCTAACCACTTCCTAAACATGATTGTTTTGTCGCTGTCAAGGGGCAGCCTGCAAACTAAAGAAAAAGCTGAGACATCAAGAGAATTGATCACATTTAGCTGTAGGATCAAAACAAAACAACAACTTAGTCACACCTCACCCTCACCTGCGCGACCACTTGGCTGATGGCCGACCGAACGGCCTCTTCCAGAGCACGCCATGCAGCTGCACTTTGGTGCTGATGTCCAGCAGTTCAGAGTCTGACTGCTCCATTGATGACCAGGGCGAAAACCGAGAGTTCCTGGACGAAGACGAGAACATCCTCTGTGGCTTCCCTCGCCCTGGGAGGTGGGACAAAAATGATCAATAAAATAAAAATAAATAAACAAAGCACAATGCAATCACTCAATAACAATTAGTCCAGCATCACCCGATAAACACACACATACACGCACGCATACACACATAGAGGTGCTGCAGGCACAGCTTCAATACAAAGCAGGAAAAGCAGCAAACAAATCCCAATAACTCAGCAGGGCGGAACGATGCAGCTGCCAATACGCTCATCAGCTGGAGGCAGACTGACTGCACAGCAACGATGAAAACAGGATGAGGGGGGGGGGGGGATACTGGAAGGCAATGGGGGAGGGAGAGAAGCTTTAGGAATGAGTTGCTAAATCTGAAGCCGGTCGATATATTCCAGCCAGTAAAAGCTGTTATTCAGATTACAGTATTTGCAGAGAGGAGCAGTTTCCAGTTATTGACAGGTATGAACTCTCCAGTTTCTCCATCAGTCCATCCTGCACCCTAGCAGCGAGTTAAGAGGAAAGCCATGGTTCCACAACTTTCTATTAAAGAGGATGAAGAGTCAGAACAGTTGTTGTATAGCTTTAGTGTCACGGGTATCAGATTAATTTACAGAACATGTGTCCGAGTGGATGGACAGAAGATTATAAAGATACCGATAGTTCAGCCTTGAAATCCAGGACACAGAAATGCTGTGTAACTGTAAGGCAACAGTTGCAGTCTGAACCTCTGTGGTTTTATTCAGGCGCTAAAGAAATTACCAAAACATGTTACTGACCCATTATGTTTCTAAGTTAAATGATCAGACATCATCACCAATTAAAAAAACTTTAATTTAGTCATCATAAAACACGCTCCTTTACAACTGATTTTTACAATCAAAGTATGGAAATAAGGCAGACCCCTTTAGGAATGATAGGAAAAGAAAACAGATTCACACCGACCTCCAAAGAAATTAACTATACAACTATCAGCCTGATATCCCCCACCCCCCTTGATTGGGATAATCAGCCCCAATATGAGCCTTTATCTTTAATCATGAAATGCATTTAGATCATTTTAAATCTGAAGGGGATGTGCCTTCAGCCAATTAAACCCCAGTATTTTGGCTGTTGAGGAAAAGATGATGAAACCTTGTGTTGAAATATTAATAAAAAAAAACTTTTATACTTTTGAAACTGATGGGATCATGTGTGAACAAACTACATTCTGAATAAGAAGTTATAAAGAGATATCTTGCAGCCAACTCTAGTCTCCAAACTTTTAAGAGGCTATTTAACCATCATAAAGCTTTTTTCCCTGTTTTGACTGCAATGTTAATTAAATTTAATCAAGCCACAAACCAGACCCCAAATTAAGTTTTAAGGTTTTCTGTAAGGGATGAAAAAAAAGCTGTAGATTGCCGTAGTAACTCAAGTTACAGAGATATACTGGTACATAATGAGGCTGCCTACTAGTGTGCCAAGTTGTCAAGCATCACAGTGGAGGGGGACGGTTCCCAGTTCCCTTTAGTACGCACAAACAGTTTCCCAGAAAAAAACAAAACAGTCATGCAGCTTCTGGTCTGCATGCAATTTCACCCCACTTTCTGTCACAGTCACTCAAAAAACAAAACAAACAAAATAAAGCCTAAAACAACACGGCGTGCTTCTTCTCATACAAGTTAGAATTAATTCACAGGTCGTGTGTAAAAACCTTAAATTTATACATAAATCAAAGACTCCTCAAGTCAGTCTGTAGCTTGTTGAGTTGGTACTGCGAAGACGAGTTTGTCGATGTCCAAAAGTTCAACATAGAAAAAAAAGAAACTGTAATTGAGAGTAAGCAGTTCTGTCTCACACAAGAAATCCCGATGATTGTGGAGGGAAGAAGTTGCTTTGTACAGTATACATACATATACAAACACGCGAGCTCTGCTGTGAGCAGGCACAGTGATACAGAAGATATCCAAAATCAGCCTACTTACATTTTAATGGTACTGGAGCAGAGAAGTAACTGAGGCAGAGCAGCATTTGGGACCCTCTAACTTTCCGATCTTGGTGCGTGAATGACATAACGAGCACCTTTATGATCAAGACAAACCCTCTGTACACATTTCAGACTTGGCTGCACTGCTGGCAAAGAAGTGACCTGGCCTCAATTTTACTTTTTGGTGATTATTGCTATAAGTATAATTACTTAATAGAGAGTTAACCCAAATAAAATGAAACAGTTGTTCATAATTCTCCTCAAACAATCTGTAACAGGTCTGTTCTCCTGTGCCCGAAAAGGTTTTACCCAATTAATGCCCTCGAGCAAGACAAATCCCTCCACCACCTGAAAACACTCTACAACACAGACTTATCCCAAGTTTAAATATAAACTAAAGAAATTTTAAAGAAAAGTTGATGTTCAGATGGGAGGCTAGTTGTGTTTGTTGTTATGCAGGATTTAAAGGAAACTGTGTCGCATAAAGAAAGAGCTTGTTACAACTGATTTTTCTAGTGGTGCCGGACTCTCCACTTACTAGACAAACTCACTAGCCACGGAAAAACTGTTACAAGCATCTTGCTGGTTAATCTGTCTGATCTACTGTGAAAACATGACCTCCTCTGGCAAGAAGAAAACATCTTGTACAAGCCAGTATTGTTTTGGGGCCATCCTCTTCAGAGATCTGTTTCAGGCTTGCTAATATGGCACTTAATCAGATCCAATCCATCAGTATTGTTGCTAATTTATCTACACTCTATACAATTATTTTTTAAAAAAGTGAGTTTCACTGCTTTTGAGATATCACACGTTTAATCAAGACTAAATCTCACTGTGCAACTGCCATCTAGTAGAAGGTCTCTAATGAAATCAGGGCTATTTTTTGACTTGGACGAGCACTATAACGCAACACTGAAAAATCCACAGTGACCTAAATGAACTCATCTAAAAGATCCACCTCTGGCGTCCTGGTGGAATTAATGCATACATACAGTAGATGCATTATACTTTGTTGTCAGTGTCATTAGATAAAATGTCATCATGTGCACTGGTTGTCACTGGAGCAACTCTGATTTTCACTCGTTCCCTGCTTCGAGTTCATTTTCAAGTCATAAGAAGTCCCTGCACAAGATCCATTAACAGACACCAAGCAATAAGACATCTGAATCCACTGTGATTGAAGTCTTTGTTTCAGCTTCTTCCTCCTGTACACCCATCTAAAATCCATCATGAGCTGTGGGTCTAATGATGGTGACCGATGGACAGCACCAGCGGAATGAGGCAGCCCAGCACCAGAGCTACCACCTCCACCTTGCTCAGTCCTTTCCCTCCGTTTCCTCCTGCGGGAGCGTGGCTGTGACCGCCGCCCCCCACCTCAGGCAGAACGTGGACCGTTGCCACGTAGAGGAATGTGCCAGCAGAGAAAAGCATGGCGACACCTGTGGCGTTGACGTCTGACAGTGCTTCTTTGCTGCTCTAAGAGGGGAAGAGACAAGAACAGTGTGAAGCTTAAAGTTCTCCTTTTCTAGTGACTCCAATGTTGATGAAATAATGTCTCTGTAGTATTTGGGCAGTAGTGTACAAATCACAATGCAGACTAGTAAGATGACAGCTGGATATCTAGATCCTCAAAGTACTGTATTGTACCAAACAGTTGAAAACTAAACATCTGGCAAAATGAAAACAGATCAGTGCAAAAATATAATAATTACCTGACTGAGACCTAAAAATGTGAGCATGGCGAGGACTGGCGCTGCCAGGGCAAAGACCAAGAGATGTTTGCGGATACGATTTCTCTCGAGACCGGCATGCATTAGGAAGGATACAAGACCAAATGCTGCTGGCGCCTACAATCAACAAAACAGAAGCGTTTATATAGCAATTTACTGCAGCAAACAGCAATCAATTCTTTTACCAGTTAATGTGCAAATTAATGCTGAAAGAAATCCTCTGTGTATTATAAACTCAGTAGCTGTACTTAAATTTAATTCATTTGCAGGCCTGCAAAAATTCAAGACACCCTTACTGCTTCCTTAGGATTTATGGTGGAGTAGTAATTGATCATCATTAAGTGTAAGCACCTCTATAAATGCAGCTGTTTTGTCAGTTTACTCCTCTGCAGCGATCAGCAGTGATCGTAAAGAAGCAACTGTTTGTCTAGGAAGGGTTGTAGGTCCATTTTTATACAACTACAAGCAAACATATCCATCATCCTTGAGTGACAATGATTATTCGCAAGAGGAAAACATTCAAGATATCAGACAATCTTCCTAGACATGAACAACACAGCAAATTCATCTCAGGGTCAGACTGTACAGTGCCCAGATAGATTGCAAAAACCCCCAAGAGCTACATCTCAGACTCTACAGCCCTCAGTTCCAATTTTAAATGTTAAACACAGAACCTATACTGGATGAGTATAGGTTCTGTGGAAAGGTTGCTAACAGAAGGAATCTTCTCTTTAAAAAGAACATGGCAGCCTTGCTTAAGTTACCAAAACTGGATCCGATCAACCCACAAGACCTCTGGAACAATGTCCTTTAGATAGACAAGACTAAAGTGGAGATGTCTGGCCATAATGCACAGCGCCACATTGGTTTGGAGAAAATCAAACACAGCATATCAAGAAAAAAAACAGATCATACAAACTATGAAGAATGGTGGTGGAGAAGTTATGATTTGGACTTGTTTTGGAGCCACGGGACCTGGACACCTTGCAGTCATTGGTAAACAAATCGAAGTATTCAAGAGTCAAATGTAAGGCCATCTGTCTGACAACTAAAGCTTGGAAGACACTGGAAAATGCAACAGAATGACTGGAGAAAAAAATAATCAAAATGTTGCAAAGTCCAGACCTCAACATGGAAAATATCCTGCAAATCTATGAGAGACTAATAAAGTCACACAGAAAATAATTACTGAAGTTATCACATCTAAAGATAGTTCTACAAGCTACTGAATCACTGGGCTTGTTAGTTTTTCACAGGCCTGTGCAAACTTTATTTTTAAAATGCCGGTATACATATACACACAAACAAACAAAAAAAAAAATCAACCACTGACTGCATTATATATGATGTATATTTACCTTATGCAGCATGATAGCTACAAAGACAATGAGCTGAACGCTGGTCTGCGAGGTTGAGGCAGCAGCACCCAATGCAACACCATCAGCTGCAGGCAAAAAAACAGAAAGGTACAGTAACTACTGGAACACTTAAAAGCAATGATTCGTCATTAAAACAGCAATAAAATCTGGATTAAACTACTGTAATAAAGAGAAACTAATACTGTTTGAA